GTCACACACACACTGTCACACACACACTGTCACACACACACTGTCACGCAGACACACATACACGCACACTGTCACACACACCGTCCCACACACACTGTCACACACACACTGTCACACACACACCGTCACACACACACACACACACACCCCACATGCACCCCCTGTCCCCAGCGCACACACAGTGGCCACACCAGCATTCCCTGCAGTATTCCAGCTCCCCCTTCCTGCACACCCCAAGCCCACCAAACCCCCTGCTCAGCCCTGGCCAGGGCTGTCAGTGACCAAGGCACGCACAGGCTCGTGCCGGGGTCACATGTCCCACGTGGGCTGTGACACAGTCTGGCGTTACCAACACAGACATCTGCAAGGGCTCCTCGTGCCAGCACAGGCAAACAGCAAACCATGAGCCCACCCAGGGCACTGAGCCCCCCAGAGCCCTGTGCTCACCAGGAGCCCTGAGCCCACTCATAGCCTTGATCCCCCCGTGTCCCTGTGCCCACTCGGGTCCCTGTGCCCAGCTCTCCAGGCAATGTCCTTGTGGTGCAGCTGCTCCTTTGCAAACTCGCAGTAAAACAAACAATTTTCCTGATACTTTCCAACCTTTTGATGGGATTTTCATTAAGGGAAGGAGTAGGGGAAAAAACCCTATTGAAGGGAAGGATTTTTCTTTAAGTGTTTGCAATGGATTCCCTTCCCCTGCTAGATACAGCTCTGATCCCACTTGTCCTGCTGAAACCCCTCATGCAGGCGGCAACAGAATCCATGGATTAATGTCCTGGCTGGCAGCCAGCGAGATGCTGCTCTTGGAGGCTCCCCCAGGCCGGAGGGCTGCCAGCCCAGTGCTCGTGTGAGCTACGGATATGTGCAAATGAAACGGTAAAACAACCCTGCTCGTGCATCCCTGTCTTCTGGAACGTCCCCAGGCCCTCAGTGAGCAGATGGGTGGTGATGCCCGATCCCTGTCATCAGCTCAGGATGGCTCTGAGCAGTTGGAGCAGCTTCTTGGGAGAGCTTTGTGCTTAGCACAGGCTCGTGTCAGTGAAGGTTCTGTTGGTTAATGAGTGTCCAGGTGTCCTTCTGCTGGGAGACCGGGAAGAAACCAAACCTAATAGGGATTTGCCCATCCTGCTTGGCTGGTGGAAGCACCATGTGAATGAAAAGTGGTGGTGGGGAATGGGAGGATGATACTGCCCCTGTGTCACCTGCTCCAGGTGTGTCACCTGCCCCACATGTGTCACCTGCCCCATGTGTGTCACCTGCCCCATGTGTGTCACTACCCCATGTGTGTCACCTGCCCCAGGTGTGTCACCTGCCCCACATGTGTAACCTGCCCCACATGTGTCACCTGCCCCAGGTGTGTCACCTACCCTCATGTGTCATCTGCCCCAGGTGTGTCACCTGCCCTCATGTGTCACCTGCCCCTCATGTGTCACCTGCCCCAGGTGTGTCACTGTGTGTATGCAGCTGCTCTGGCCGGCAGGTGCTGAGCAGGGCAGCAGGTCATGGGCAGCACCCCCAGCCCAGGGCAGGGGGGCAGGTGGGGGCACTGGGGTCATGTTCTTTCTCTCCTCAGCATCACAGTTCCAACTTTTTCATTCAGATGTTGGGTTCTTATAAAATAGTTACCAGGAGATGTGGGAGCCAGGACCTGCAGCACCTGTGTGTGTATTTGCTGGGGGAATGAACTCTGTTTCAACCTGGATTTTCTCGGGCTGCTGCAGGAACTGGAGAAGAAAAGACCTAAGAAATACCAAAGTCCAGCTCCTGCCATGAATCTTTGTGCTTTGTGTTTTCTTCTGCATTTTCTTGTCCACTTTTGCTTTAATAAAGCAAAGAGAACGTCACTGTGTTCACAGTCCCATAGAAGCTGTCCCTGAGGCTCCTCTCAGGGTGGCCGAGCCCTGGAGCAGGGACCCCCTTGGTGTTGCAGCCGGGAGCCAACCACATCCACGTTCCCCTGCAGACTCTCTGCTCTGCTCTGGCTCATCTCAGAGGTGTGGGGGCCTTTGGGCCGGCTCAGTCCGGGTCAGAGCTCAGACCATCAGCTCCTGCCCAAGGCAACAGATGGAGGACGAGGGACACACACTTGGCATCTCCCTGAGAGCAGCGTTGTACGTGGATGGGCCCAATTCCATGACAGAGGGTGCAGAATAAGGGATGCTGCCTTTAGTGAAGGTGGGAGAGACTCTTCCTCAGTCCTGTATCATGCCAGAAGGTGGGATCAGGTGGCAATGGCATGTGGCATTCCCAAGGCAGAGCTGTGCCCTCCTGAGCCTGTCAGGTTCCTGCCAGCACCCCCTGCCCCAGCAGGGAGCTCGGCTCAGCAGGAGCAAGAGCTAGGGCAGTGACTCTCCACTCCGAGAGGCCATGGATGAGTGGAGAACTGGCAGCATCCATGTACTGTTGCCATAATGTTCAAGAGGCTCTTTGTGCTCAGCTGAGGGAACAGGGCCCTCAGTCACAGCCATCGGGCTCAGCCAGGGAGGCAAACCCCACAGGACCACTCACTGCTCCGTGCCCTGCGGGGCCGGGGGGCCGTCACTGTGCTCTGGAGGGATGTGAGGGGTACCCGAGGGGTCACCAGCCCCCCAGGCAGTCAGAGAGCTGCTGCCCTCACAGTCCTCATGGAGTCCCTCCCCTTGCTGAGCTCTCACTTAGGATGTTTCAATAATATATGCTAAAGATATCTGTATCTATGTAAAATAAAGGTGTGGCCCATTTTCTGTCACTAAAGATATTTATTTAGTGTGATGCTCTGAGAGAGTCCTCTCTAGTTGCACACTGAGGCACTGAATGCTCTTCAAGAAATGAGTCAGAATGTACCAATTTAATAGAAACTTCTAATTTAATTATTTTTCTGGCTGAGTGCTGCCCAGTTTGCAAAGGTCCTCCCTTTCATGGCATGCACAGAGCGCATACTGGAATAGGCTGCTGTCGGTATTGGCTCCTCCAGGTTTCCTGTGGCTGCTTGTGGTTAGGCAGGGACCGTGTTTGCTCTTGGGGAACGATGGAATGTCCTTTGTTTCTGTCCTCTTTGACTGCACAAAGTGTCCTCGCATGTCCAGGCAGAATCCTGGGATTACAGAGAGGTGTCTGTGCTCTACCTGTCTCCAGACCTGGGGCAGGCAGAGTGCTCCAGCCCCTCTGGGTGGGTTGAAGCCTCCCCATGCCCGGCGGTGCCTGCTCGCCCCCAGCTCATTCCCTGGGGCAGCAGAGGGACCCTGTGCTTGTGACTCACAGAGAAAATCTCTGCATCCACATAAACCCTCAGCAAGTGGATAAAAGCTGCTCTCTGTGCTGGATATTTGGTGTTCTGTGGCAATTTTATGCTGTTTCTCTTTGTTAACATGTCTCTGTAATAATAAGAGTTCTCAATTTGATATATTTTATTTTCTTTGTATTAAGCCAAAAAGCTCCTTGCTGGTGCCTTTTTGCCTGGGGGGCCCTCCCAGCCCACAACTGTGTTCTGGGAGGAACAAAGGGCAGTGTGTCCAACTGTTCCTTCCACCAGAGCTGAGGGAAGGTGGGAAGCCAATGCCTCAGGATTGGCAGAATGAAAAGAACCAGAGGCCTTGGAATGGCAGAGGGATTTGGGGTACGTTGCCGGTTCTTTCCCGGGGCGTGGCTCCAAGGAGAGGGCTGAGCACGACACTGGGACACCCTGACCCCGTTTCAGTGGGACTGGGACTCTCGAGGCTCTGTGATGTGGGCACAGCACACGCAGCCTGGGCTGGCCCCGCTTGGAATCACAGGGCTTTGCCCAGATTATAGCACCTGAGGGCAAATCCTCTAGAAAAGGGTGAAAGGATGTTCTTAGATTGCTGCTACAGCTCTTTGGTTTTTTTAATTGGAACGGAATGCATTGGGTAAGGAAAACAGACCCCCCCCAGTGTTCCGGTGCCACGAGGGCCAGAGCAGGTGACAGACGCTGCCAGGGCCAGCAGGATCAGTGCAGGGTGCCCAGGGGACAGCTGAGTCTACAGTCCCTGTACAGGACTGAAGGCCATTTACTTGTGTAACCAAAGAGAGGAGCCTGTCTGGCACTCAGGTAAAGACAAACCAATGACACTGCGCTTGGGGTAAATGAAAACTCTCCTTTTTGGCTCTGTCAGCCATGCCTGGGTCTCATGTGAGCCCTCGGCTCTGCCACAGGGCGGCCCCTCACGCTTGGTGTTCAGCTCTTTTTGTAATCTGAAAATTTGCTGTTGTTCTGAGTCCAATAAATGCAGAATCTGGTTTGCTGGAGCTCTGCCCTCTGCCTGCATTTGGCTTTTGTGTTGTTTTTGTGCGTGAAATTGCTGTGGGTGTGACAGCTGTCAGCGAGTGAAGGCGCTGGGAATCAGTGGGTCATTTGTCAGTGGATAAGGCTGTACATTGGGTCGTTGTAGGCTTTTTTCACAGTCAGATTTCGCTATTAATCACATGTCTGAACTGGTAATTCAGTTACAGAATTGACTAATCCTTTCATATATTCCTCTTTGGGTCTTTTAAAATAAATTTCATTTGATTAATGTATTTCTCAAAACAAGAAGCTAATAAAGGCCAGTGTCCTCCTCCTTTTGTTGTTGTTTTTGGTAACTTTATGAGTAATTGTAAATCCATTCTGCTGGAACATCTTTATAAAATTGACCTGTGCTCTCTAAGTAATAAAGAAGATGCTTATCAGCCACTTGTAAATTCAAGGCACAGATGCGAACCCTGCTCAGGGCCAAGATTTGATTAACTGAGACAAAGCAAAGAACTCGGAAAAAAACCACCCTCATCAGGCCACAGATAACTACAATGCCTGGTGTGTAAGTGCACGGCAGTTGCACACACCGTGCCCCAGGAGCTGAAGCACAGAGCGCCGAGAGCACAAAAGCCTTGGCATCGGGGTTAGTCACATGCAGGGAATCTGGTCCCACCCCTCACTCTGAGACACAGGGAAATATTGATGTGTTATTTTCAAAATTTGCCCTTAGTGGACACTGGGAAGACCATCACTGTGCAGGGCTGTGGCGGTATCTTGGGTACCCGATGGGATGTCAGCCCCAGTGTCACCTGCCAAACGGTCACTGGCCACCAATGTCCACAGGAACACGCAGGAGTCACTGGTCCAGTGCATTGTGGGGTGATCCACTGGGGGTCCCAGTCCCTCGGTGGCTACACATTCCAGGGCTTACACCAGCCTTGGTCTCTGGCAGCCCCGGACTCGTGTGGCCTGAACAGTCCATGGGAGGACAGCGAGGGAACCAGTACTAGGGCTGCCAGGGTTTGGGCTGCCAAAGGGCAAATGCGCCTCACTCAGCTCCTTCTGCCCTGTTATGTTCCAGCTGTCTCTGCTGTGCATCCTGCATCCTGCATCCCACACTATGCATCCCACATCCTGCATCCCATATCCCACATCCCGCACCCTGCATCCCCCATCCTGCATCCCTCCTTCTGCATCCCGCATCCCCCATC